AGTGCTTTCCTCAACACTGTAAGCGTGACAACCACTAATGCAGTTTTATTAAGTATCAGCCATTTTCACATTTTCAACTAATAGTAATGAATGTTTATGTTCAATAGAATGGTTTCTGAAGGATCATGTAACACTGAATGAAGACTGGAGTAATGATGCTGAAAATGTGTTCTTGCCCCATAAAAATAAAATTAAATTTCACAATTTTAAATTGTAGTAAGAGCCACTGCAGATGTGTCCAGTCCTGCTCAGCCATGCAGTATTGTCTCTGTAAGTAATTTCCTATTCTGTTGGTCTAAAAATGTAATTAAATCAGTCGCCAGACAGCTGACACAATTCTTAACACTTTGGAAAGTAATTTATCTAATTTGTTCTTTTCACTTAACAGAGATGTTAAAAGGCTCACATGCCCTGAAATTTTGAATATAACTTTTATAACCAGTAGTTTCTTAAAACGCATTCAAGCTGAGAAATAACAACAATCAAACTATTGTCATCATGTCAATTGAGTTTACTTGATACTGATTTATTCATGATAAACCATGTATATATGTTAACATTCATGTGTCAAAATAAAGAGATATTGTTTGTAAAATCTCAGAAATGTTTTATTTCATATATTAAACAGGATTTCAGAATAATTATTTTGTTACTTTTTTTTGGATGACAGCAGTGTATAATGTAAAGTTATCAGTTTCATTGTCATAATCACTGTAATACTAAAGGTATTTAAGTGAAAACTATTATTGCAATGATAATTTCATGTGAAGGTAATCATGGATAAAAATAAACTGCTTAAAAAGTGCTTAAAAAATAGAATGACCTTACTTGACTAAATGTTTTGTCTTTTTTCCTTCACAGACAGCTCATTCTGGGGCATTATTGCAAGGTCCATCTGTAGTTCCGCTTCCTCGTTTGTGGTCGGAGACCTTGCCACCAGAGGATCACAAGTGGATTGGCAAAAGGCTTTTCAAAATGGGATCCAAGGGAAAGCCAGGGCTTCGTGATAACCTCCAGCTCTGGTATTACCCACCACAGCCAGCACTTATTTACAATCAGGCTCCAGCTCCAGACAGATTCTTGTGTCATTCTCTTCTGCTGTGGATGCCGTACAAGCTGTGGAGGGTTAAGGTTCTCTGTCCCAATCCTGCCTGTGGACAACATCAGCTGACAGGAGGTGGTCTGCACAAAAGGTCACGGCAGGTTCTAGACATTGACAGAACGTACAACATGGTCAAAGAAACCCTCATCTGTACCAAGTGTAGAGCCTAGCATGTGTCCTGGAGTCAGACTGTCCTGCAACAGCTAGATCTGGGCCATCGCTCTGAGTTTCAGGTCATCCTCACGCGGAAGTAAGTACACTTTCATTCCTCATCCAGTTGTTAGCCCATCATCACATATATAAGCAAATACTTTACAAATCAAATATCTAAAATATATGAATGTGTGGATTTTGCATTTCCTAAGGTACGCCTGTGATATGCGGGTCATCTGGCAACAGCCCCACGCGGGTGATCAAGCAGCTGAGTGAAAACCACAGCGAGCAGTGGCTCCATCGTCTGGCCCGGTACACCACCCAATGCATTGACTTCCTCAATCAACCCAGGGTGATGCCAGTAAAATTCCAGGAGCCCCCAGAGCCTACAGTGGTGCCAAGCTGCAAGTGGCTGCTCACTGTTTACAGCCAAGACATCCTGACAAGGCTGGATGAAATCCATGCAAGGATAACATCCACCTATGGCTCTGTCTTGAAGATGGATTCTACTAAAAAGGTTAGTTGTGGATTTGTTTATTAATGCTGTTGTTTATATACCAGCATGGCACTGTATCTGTATTTTACATGGTGTGATGTTTGATTATATTTACAGCATGCTTCATATCATGTCTTATTACAGATCACCAAGAAGCTAGGCCCACTCACACCCCTGGAGTAGAGAGCACCATCAGAAGTGTGCTGGGTGCAAGCAGTGCACCTGCTCAGTGGCCTGACTGTTGCCGTCTGGTGGAGACCATCTTCATCAGGCTTTGCACAATTCACCCAAGCCCCAAAAGAAAAGGCAAGGGAACGCTGTCGAGATGGTCTCTGATCCTCCAAGACTACAGAAGGATAAGGCAGCTTGTACTGGGCAACAGCTTGGTGATGGGAGGAACCTCAATGCAGCTGGTGGAGGTTAACCAGAACACCCTGATTCAGTGGTACAACAACAGGCAGAAAAAGCAAGAGCTGTCTGTGCTGCTTCAGGGCATTCAGTTGCCTCAGCCCCTCCCTGAAGCTCAGGAACCTTTCCAGGCTGCCAAACGCCCACGGACTGAGCCAGAACAACCAGGGGAGCAGCACCAGTACAAGCTACCAGAGAGCACAGCAGGTCAGGCAAAGCAGAGGCAGACTTCTACTGGACGACCCCCTCTCAGACCCAAGGCACCAGCACAGAGTCCTATGTTGGTTACGCCATCAGCACCTGGAGCATCAGTGCAGATGGTACCCAACATACTTATACCAGCAGCACCAGGTTTCCAGGGTGTGCCGATGTTTCAGGGTGTGCCAGTGTTCCAGGGTCTGCAAATGGTTCAAAGACTGCCAATAGTTCAGGGGATGCCGATGGTTCAGGGAATCCCGATGGTCCAGGGGATGCCAATGATACAGCCACTGTTACAGCCTACAGTTGTGCAGGGCACCAGTTCACAACCTGCTGCACCAGCTGCCAGTCCGCAAGCCATGCCCAAGAGACCCTACAAGAGAACTGTAGAGGCAAACACTTGCAAGAAGTGTGGACAGTTCAAAACCAGTGCAACGGGACATAGCCAGTACAGGAGCAAGGTGTACTGCCCACAGACTGAGACTATTACAAAAGAACAGTGGTTGGAGCAAATGCGAACTGTTCCCAAATAATGTATATATTTGTATTTATTGTAGTGTATATAGTTGTTTTAATATAGCTCACTATTGTTAATATTTGTGTTGAACATTATTTAACGTTGTTTTTTTGTAAACATTTTTTAATATTTAACTTTTTATTTACCGTTTTAAAAAAAAATCCTATTTAACTTTAACTTATTGTTTTTGAAAACTTGATATTTACCGTTTTATTTACCTTTTAATTGTTGTTTAAACTTATTTAATTTAATATTCATTACTGTTCTGTTAGCATAATTGTAAAAAAAAAAAAAAGAGAAATGATTGCTTTTTTTATTTGTGCTTTAATATAACAATATTTCCATCAGTACACTGCAACAATAGAACGTCTATAAAAAGATAATTTGCATTTTGTCATTCTTGTCACAGACATTAATTGTAAAATGGAGAAATTATTGCTTTTTTTATTTGTGCTTTAATGTAACAATATTTCATCAGTATACTGCAACAATAGAACATGTCTATAAAAAGATAATTAGCATTTTGTCATTCTTGTCACATACATTTTTCGGCATATTAATTACTATTTTGCATCTTTTTTTCATTAGAAATAACATGTTTGTAAGTGTCTTGAATTAATGTAACCTAAAAAAAATACTTAATCAGAATAATATCAATACAACTACTAAATAACTAATAATAACAACAAAACACATTTCCATTGGTATAGTTTAATTTTCATGAAAGAATATCAAACTAAGTACATATGTACATTTTAATAACCTTGAAATTTCATGTATATAATGAAATTAACAATATTACAAAAAGCTGTCTTTAGCTGGATTCGAACCCCGGTCTTGGTGAGCACCTGCAATAGGAAACAGTGTAATATAAATGCGCGATTTTCCCGCAGGAAGAAATCCGAAAATGTATCACTGCGCGCATGCTAAGGAAGAACTGTCTTTGAACGTCAAATTTCACCCTTTCTTTTCTTAATTTCTCCTTTCTCCTTCCCTTTCTCTTTTTCTTCCTTCTCTCTCTTCTTCCCTTCTTCCCCACCTTTGACGGACTATTGTTCCCCAGCTTCGGCCAAGGAAAGCTCTTTGCTAGGCCATCGCAGCCACAAGAGTCTTCCAAAAAGGTTGCCCTGGCAACGGTGGGATTCTAACACACACCCCCGAAGAGACTGAAGCCTTAATCCAGCCCCTTAGACTGCTTGGCCACGCTACCCCATGAGGGGGCTTTCCCCGGGCTGCATTCCACCAACTTTGTCCTTGTCGCGCTTCGCCACAAGCGAATGCCCTGAATTTCTCCACGGTAAAGGCCTCCTTCTTGCAGGGGTACGCAGTCCTACTCCAGAAGGCCCCCCTTTCTGTGGACTGCAGGTCCTTTTCTGATCAAACACACCTGAATGTGCTATTCAAGGCCTTTGGGGCTGTCGTGAAAACGGCAGCCAGCTGTGAATTAACCATTATACTCAAAAAAAAAATTCCACATTTTTTTCACCCAAAACTTTCAATAAGTTACATTGGCTGTTTCCATTCTTTTAGACTACTTATTGCTTTTCGCTATTATTTAATTCAAGTTCTTTTTCCTGTTTTGAAGTAACTTCACTATGATTGTAAATTATTGGTTTCCCTGTTTCAACAGGGTGCCTCTGTTAGAAAGGAGCAGAGGCTGGGACAGGCTTCCAGCACTGATTTGGCTAAAAAGGAAGGAAAGCAAAAGTGGCTGAATTTGGATGTGCACGCAGCGTCACTTCGCTCATGCAGCATCACTTCGCTCAAGCACAGCAGCCAAAAGGCTGCCCTGGCAGCTGTGGGATTCAAACCCTCGCCCCCGAAGAGACTGGAGCCTTAATCCAGCGCCTTAGACCTCTCTGCCACTCTACCCAGTGGGGCCTGGTTCCACTGGCCACTTCGACCGGTGGAATGGCCACCACGATGCTGACTTTGCTGAAAAACTGCAGTCTAATCCTGTTTGCGTAAAACAACCCTGATCCCAAGAAAAGTTACCGCTTTCGGCTGTGTTGCTGGCATCTTGTTTGACTCGCATGTCCCTGGCGGGCCTGGCTGCTGTCAGGGAAAGCGTGCTCTCACAATATTTTCAAACCTGTATCGAGTACACCCTTGGTTAAAACCACTGCTGGCAGCGGTGGGATTTGAACCCACGCCCCCCACGAGACTGAAGCCTAAATCCAGCGCTTTAGACCACTCGGCCACGCTACCCCAGAGAGCAGTGCTTCGTGGGCAATTTTCGGCCTTTCCACCCTCCAGAAATAGAGGCAACGGCAGCCGTGCAGCTTCTTCGCGAAACCCATCGAGTGCGGCCAAGGAAAGCTCTTTGCTAGGCCATCGCAGGCACAAGAGTCTTCCAAAAAGGTTGCCCTGGCAATGGTGGGATTCTAACACACACCCCCGAAGAGACTGAAGCCTTAATCCAGCGCCTTAGAATGCTTGGCCACGGTACCCCATGAGGGGGCTTTCCCCGGGCTGCTTTCCACCAACTTTGTCCTTGTCGCGCTTCGCCACAAGCGAATGCCCTGAATTTCTCCACGGTAAAGGCCTCCTTCTTGCAGGGGTACGCAGTCCTACTCCTGAAGGTCCCCCTTCCTGTGGACTGCAGGTCCTTTTCTGATCAAACACACCTGAATGTGCTATTCAAGGCCTTTGGTGCTGTCGTGAAAACGGCAGCCAGCTGTGAATTAGCCGTTTTACTCTAAATTATTTTTTCCAAATTTTTTTCACCCAAAACTTTCAATGAGTTACATTGGCTGTTTCCATTCTTTTAGACTACTTATTGCTTTTCGCTATTATTTAATTCAAGTTCTTTTTCCTGTTTTGAAGTAACTTCACTATGATTGTAAATTATTGGTTTCCCTGCTTCAACAGGATGCCTCTGTTAGAAAGGAGCAGAGGCTGGGACAGACTTCCAGCACTGATTTGGCTAAAGAGCAAGGAAAGCAAAAGTGGCTGAATTTGGATGTGCACGCAGCGTCACTTCCCTCAAGCAGCATCACTTCGCTCAAGCACAGCACCCACAACAGAAAAAAGGCTGCCCTGGCAGCGGTGGGATTCTAACCCACGCCCCCGAAGAGACTTGAGCCTTAATCCAGCGCCTTAGACCGCTCGGCCACGCTACTCACAGGGACCTTATTCCACTGGCCGCTTCGACCGGTGGAATGGCCACCCCGATGCTGACTTTGCTGAAAAACTGCAGTCTAATCCTGTTTGCGTAAAACAAACCTGATCCCAAGAAAGGTTAACGCTTTCGGCTGTTTTGCTGGCATCTTGTTTGACTCGCATGTCCCTGGCGGGCCTGGCTGCTGTCAGGGAAAGCGTGCTCTCACAATATTTTCAAACCTTTATCAAGTACATGCAGGGCCTCCCGCCCTTGGTTAAAAAGTAAAGGCCTCCTTCTTGCAGGAGTATGCAGTCCCATTCCTGAAAGCCCCCCTTCCTGTGGACTGCAGGTCCTTTTCTGATCAAACACACCGGAATGTGCTATTCAAGGCCTTTGGGGCTGTCGTGAAAACGGCAGCCTGCTGTGTATTGGCCGTTATACTCAAAGTAATTTTTTCCACATTTTTTTCACCCAAAACTTTCAGTGAGTTACATTGGCTTTTTCCATTCTTTTAGATTATTGGTGTCCCTGCTTCAACAGGGTGCCTCTGTTAGAAAAGAGCAGAGGCTGGGACAGGCTTCCAGCACTGGCTTGGCTAAAAAGCAAGGAAAGCTAAAGCGGCTGAGTTTGGATGACCAGGCAGGCTTCTTACAGGGGTTCGCAGTCCGATGCAGTGTTTCCATTATTTTAAACTACTCATTGCTTGTCACTATTATATTATTCAAATTATTTAAAAAATATATGTATATATATCTACAATGATTTCTCTACAATGATGTACAAGGCTTTCAGTACTGACTTTGCTAAAAAGCAAGGAAAGCAGAAGTGGCTGAGTTTGAATGAGCACGCAGCGTCACTTCTACAATCTCTTTGCTCAGGCACATCAGCCTTCCAAAAGGCTGTCCTGGCAGCGGTGGGATTTACACCCACTGAAGACTGGAGCGTCAGTCCAATGCCATAAACAGCTCAGCCACACTACTCTATGAGGCTGTGTCAGAGCTTGCAGATGTGTTACAATTGCAACCAATCTGAGATGAATTTTGAAGAACAGAACAACACAGGATTGACTAAAATCTTCAGAAATAAAATCTTGAGTAGTCAATTACCTATGTACAAAGGATGGGGCATGATTGAGTCACCTTGCCTCAGCAAAGAGGCAACCATTCTGGAAGAAGATGACACACATCTTACATATTTCTAAAAGTCCTGACATTTTCAGAGCATACAAAAGCCATTGACAGTGGGATTTGAACCAGTGTCCCAGAAAAGACAACAGCCCAAATCCAGTATCTTAGACCCCCCTGCCACACTATTCTGCAAAGTTCTTTTAGCCCGGCCACTTTTCACCTACCTTTGTCTTGTTGTGCTTCGCCAAAGTTGTTAATAATAATATATTTCAAAATAGCTGTTTACTAATTTTATATATTTTACAGTTTAATGTATATGATGGCAACAGAATTTTCAGCAGCCATTACTCCAGTCTTTACTGTTACTGACTAATATGCTAAATCCTTCTTTCTTTTTATTATTATTTTTTATTTGTTGAAAATGTTTGTGCTGCTTAAAGTAAAAGTGTTTTTTAGGATTCTTTGATGAATAGAAAGTTCAAAAGAGCCGGATACAATTTTTTCTCTAATGTTATAAATAGCTTCACTGTTATTTCTGTTCAATTTAATGTATCCTTTCTGAATAAAAGTATTAATTTGTTGACACCAAACATTTGAACAGTATTTTATCAAGCAAACTTGTTTTGCAACTTTTAAATACTAACTCGCATAAAAAACAGACAAATTCATCCAAATAAAATAAATAGGTATTTCAAAAATACAAGTGTATCAAATATTAAAAGAAATTTAGCCACACACACACACACACACAGCTTGACATACATCTGCAGGGCAAGTTCTGCAATCCTACTGTATGTGTACAGTATGTACATTGAGCACTGCTCTTCAGTTGGCTCGTTTGAGGCCAAATTTCTTTTTATTTTTGGGTGTTTGTGTCGCAAGTTCAGTGACGCAGGTAGTGACGATTCTCTCCGGCCAATCCGTGATCAGCAGTGTTTACACGTCACGTTTTGGCAACGGGACAGTTCACTTAATTGGAATGCCAACCGAGGTGGTACTAAAAAAAGTACCAGGTACCAGGTACTGTACCCAGTGGAAAACCCCCAAAAAGTGAACCGTACCAAGCCGAGCTGTACCATGCAGTGGAAAAGCGGCATTAGTTTCTGGTAGCCAAAGCTAAGCTAATGCTTCTGGTTGCAAAGCAGCTGGAGAGTTTTTGACAGCATCAATAATAATTTAGCACGAATAGTCTTGATGTGAACAATCCGTGCAAGTTAATCCACTGAAAAAAATTGTTTGTCTTGTAATCTTTAAAGGGGTCATATGATGCGATTTCAAGTTTTCCTTTCTCTTTGGAGTGTTACAAGCTGATTGTGCATAGATAAGATCCCTGAAGTTGCAAAGACTAAAGTCTCAAAACCAAAGAGATATTCTTTATCAAAGTTAAGACTCTGCCACGCCCCCCTAAAACGGCTCGTTCTAACACGCCCCCACATATCTACCTCACTATGTGGAAATATTAGCCGCCCAAATGTGCAAGCAAAGAAAGAAGGCGTGGTTTCAGTAACCGCAGTTAGTGTTGATGCAGTCATGTCAGGGAGACGCTGTGTGTTTCTAGGCGAAAGCAAAAGCACTTTATTTGGCCTTCCAGAAGTAGATGCATTTAGGAATCTTTAAGATTACTTACAACAGAACAGCAATGCATTTTATGGACGACCGTTTCGTGAACCTAGGAAAGGAGGTAATTCTGACTTTGCTATGACAATCTGGCGCTTCTGAATCAACTACTGTTTTGTTATTAGTTTAAGTATTTGCTATTGACTGTTCAAATGCTCAGTTTTGCGCATCGTGTGTGTGTGTGCGCGAGCGAGAGAGAAAGAGAGAGAGAGAGAGAGCAAGAGAGAGCGCGAGAGAGCGAGAGAGAGAGAGAAATCCAGTGATGGCCACTGCAGCATGCAAGCCCCGCCCCTTTGTGTACCCCGCAAAAGGTTGTGGGTTCAATTCCCAGGGAACACACATACTGGTAAAAAATGTATAGCCTAAATGCACTGTAAGTCCCTTTGGATAAAAGCATCTGCTAAATGCATAAATTATTAATTAATTAATGTGTTAACTTGCCCAGCCCTAATACATATACTGTATATATTTTTTATTTTATTTATTTATTTATTTTTTTTGAAAGAAAGAAAGAAAGAAAGAAAAAGAAAGAAAGGAGATGTGAGTTGGTTGATTCAGTAAATTAGCTCAGGTCAGGATAATCATATTTTCTGTCTACACCTGTTAGCCTAACGTTGACTTAGCTAACGTTAACATACACTGTTGCTAGGTAACTTCAGACTATTGTTAGCTGAGTTTTGCGGTGTTTCGTGAACAAATCTGTGGCTTTGAACGAATCGTTCGTGAAAGTCATTGATTCAATGATTCATTCATAAATATAGCCACTTGCTTCATTACTGAATGAACGAATGACTCACGCATTAAGACAGTGACTTACCACCGGTTTTAGTATTTAAAATAATCACTTTTCACTTTTTTTTATCATCATTGCATATTACTCTTATTTTTTTTTAAATATTCAAAACATTATTAATATTGTATTTATAGAGATAAAAAATGCACTGGAAAGTCAATTTAGGGGGCAAATATTATCCTATAATGGAAAAGGTGCAGTCAAAGTGGAAGCGAGTGGGTATGCAGAAGGATGGTAAATGCCTCAGGGGGTACTCCACTCTAAAAAGTTTGGGAACCACTGATGTAGAACATTCTGTGTACCATGAAAATGAGTCCACTTTAAACCGCGCATCTTCTGTCAGCATTTTCCTACTACTCTTTTTGGCAGAATTGATCATTATAATCAACTTAATTATTTTCTGGATTTTGTATCACTATAGTCCCTAAATGTATGTAATTGCAGGAAATGGGATTCAAATCGAAAACATTTTCCCCCATTTTGTGTCACCCCCCACTTCTCAAACCACAGTTACACCCTTGCGTTACAATATAGTCAGTAACAGACAGTAAACTGGAATTTATGCTCT